CCGTAATTCCACAATTACGGCATGGCCCGTTGGAACATTGAGTGTGTGCAGGCCAACCAAGTATGCAGTTGCTTGCACCGTTCTGAGCGGCAATCAGATTCATGATGCAAAACAAAAATACGGGACAATGTGTAGAGATACTTTACCAATTAGTCTTCAATGATAAATTCTGTGAATCGTAAAAAGTCGGATCTCAGTGACTTCAATTTACTGCTGTTCACAGTACCACAACTCATTGCTAGAAAAATTCAGTGAAACAGAATTTGCTGTAGGTACTGGCCGATATTTACAGTGAAGTCTAGAGCGTAAGCGTCATGCTGTGCTAAAACTCTAAAGTAATTTTCCTGGGTACAGCTATCTGATTAAGAGTTCCAAAACGCCTGAGGCGACTCCGCACTTTACTTCTCTACCATGAAATCTTCTTCACCTCATTTCATTTCCTTGGAGAGACATTTCATTTCCAGTAATGAGCTCAAAAACCAGCCCTTCTCAGAATGAGTTTAGGAGGAAATTCGGAAGTACAGTACATTTGGTTGAGAAGTATACATGCATCAATCTTGAGCCGAATACAAGGAAATTGTTCACGAATAGAGGACAGTACCTCGTGAAAATTGTGGAGGTAGGAAAAGAATGGCGTCATAAGCAAAAAAAGCTCAAAAATTCAAGAGATAGTTTGCTGCAGTATGCAGAAGTATTTTGCAGAGAAAAGGCCTTAGCTCAGCGTCTGGGAAATTTTGAACGGGTTCAAAAGTCGTCTATGGACAACAAATTAAGCCACGCCCTCCCGTCCAAAGCTGTCCGAGACGTACAGAAAGCGAAATTTCCAGGACGAAAGTCGTCCTTTACATTTTGACACACCAATGGTTATAAGAATTTTCTGAGACGGAAGAAAGGACCTTGCCGACAGACATTTACCATGAGCCGATGATTTCATGACTACTACACATCCTTTGGCAGATTTTTGTTTATCCATTTATTTATTCGTGCGTGTAGTTGACCGCCCAAACTATGGAAAACACTGGATAATCAGGAGGACGCTATCCCTATTATCTTCTACGGAAACTGTTAAAACTACAGGATAGAAATACTCCGATGACTCCATTATCTTTTTTATGGATAGAACCAGCAAAAGGAAAGATTAGAACAGTCGATCCACTAACGGGACCAAAATTGAGGGTTTCGTGCTCACAGACAGGTTTATTATTTCGGCTTATCCTTCTCGGAAGCCAAAAAATCAAACGCTTTTTCTCAAAATGAGGTTGATGAGAGAATTGCTTTAAGAGGAGAAGCACGGAACAAACTCGCAGAAGAAACAAACATGTGGCCGCTAGAGTTGTTCGGAACATAGCGCAAGTAATTAAGGCGCACCCTGTATGAATAGGAGAAGAGATGTTTTTGTTGGAAGGGATTTCTTGGAATGACAGCATGATTAGCAGTCGTGTTCGTCAGTCTTATTAGGAAGCCTGCATGAAATAATGTAATTTTCCTCTCGAAGATGGCATTCGGGCTTCCGTTATGGTATCGCTGGAAATGTTCTGCGAAGGGCAGATCAATTAATTGCCCAAGCAGGTCGAGAATGAGCCAGTGATGGGACTGAACCCATAAGTGGAACTCCTTTCAGTGGAAGTCGGGAAAACAAAGATTGAGCGGGGATGTAGGAAAACTCCTGTACGCGCCCGCACTCGACCCTTATCTAGAATTCGTAAGAAATTCGTGTGATAGGAGAACACAAGAGAAACATATATGAAAAATATACACAGGAAATATGAGTAAATAAATAAAAACAATTAAATAAATAAAAACAAGTAAATGAATAAGGTTTCACATTGATTCAAGTCTCTCTCGTCCACGTTTCCTCTTGAACTCTATCACGAACGTGATAACAGTAATCGATTTCTTTTGATAACATTACTCGATTTCACTATTCTATGTTGGGTTACTGTAAATGTAATGTGCGCTTCAATTCCATATTTTCAAGATGGTAGAACAAGATATGAAAAGCTTTACTGTAACAGTGCCATTCCATTTAGCTAAGAGCATTCCTAGATCCGTAGAACACGATATGAGGATCAAATGTTTGCATTCTCTTAGGCTCGCAGAGCTTTAGATCCGTAGGACATGATAAATGAGGATATAAAAGAGGGCAAGCCGCAAGGCTGGGCTCTTTCTGCTTTCCGCTGTGCAACTCAAGTGAGGATCGGTGCAAAGAAGTGAAGGTTGGTGCAAAGATTTGATCCCAGCGCAATTTTCCTATTTTTTCTGGAATTTCTTGCCTTTCCGATTGTTGTTACATTCTCATTTCTTATTATTCTCGCTTAATTCATTGTATCAAGGTCGATTTGGATAAATAAGTTGGAGATACCCGCGTGGCAATACAGAGGAAGTTCATTGAACGTTGATCACTATCACAAGTGGTGCATCGGCGGATTCGACCTGAGCAATTCGGAGAGCAAGAAGTCCAAAGAAGGAACGGAGGTTAGCATTCAGAAATATTGCAGTGCATGCTACCGCTTCAGCTTCATTGCTAAGTAGAGAGAAACTGGGAAAAAATCTCTGTGAATAGTGCCCCTTCGGCCTCTTTACGTAGAAAATGGCAACATCCCTAAAAGCGCGTAAAGGGCTAGTAACGCGGCAGTCTAATGCACTAACCGACCTCGTGAAAAAATATTCGCGACTAGCAGAAGAAGTCGTCTTCGCAGGAGCGACCGACATGACAAAGTTAATCAATGAAATGAATTCGGCGCAAGTACACATTCGGGCGCTGCAAGCGTCCCTTGAAAAGGCTACTCTTGCGTTCGCCGAAACTGTTGACAGTTTGGAAATACCACTGGGAAGTGAGGAAGAAGGGCGCGCTTCGGAACACATAGAAAAAGCTAACACGGTTTTTTCGGAGTCGGAAACCCTTTTGGCTCAATTTGAGGTGCAAAAGCAGATTGCCGCCACCAGAATGAGAGAAAATGTAGAGGAAAGTGAATTCCACGATTTCTCTACACGATCTCACGAGACTTCAACAGCCCGGGTGGAACTCCCAAAACTCCCGATCCCAGAATTTAATGGCAATAGCTGGCAATGGGATAACTTCTGGGAATTATTCAACGCCACAGTGCACTCGCTCCCTCTCTCGAATTTGCAGAAGTTCAACTACCTTCTTGAAAGCATTGAAGGGAGAGGCGAGAGAATCAGCCGAACGTTTTCAAGTGACCTCATCCAACTACCCGTTGGTATTGAAACACTTGCAAGAGAAATACGGGAACGCTTCTGCAATCATCACTAGCTTGCATGAAAAACTGCAGATGTGGACTGCACGAAGTATGGATCTAAAAGATCAGAGCAAGCTTTTCGATAAAATTTGTTCCCTCACGAAACAGCTGGAAAGCAAAGGAGAGAACCTCGACAGCCCATGGTTGCTATCAAAGATTCTAGCAAAGTTCAGAAAAGATATCCAGCGACGAGTACTTGAAAGAAAGGTGACATTACCGTCAGAAGAGAGCTGGAATCTGAAATTACTAATGGACTCCCTTGACATGGTCATTCGGCAAGAGCAAGAAATTGAGCGCTACATGCCGGCAAAGACCGAGCACAAAGCCGAAGCGAAACAGAAACCAGGCGTCACGCAAGACATGAAGCGGACGCCCTTTTGTTTCTACTGCGAATCGAAAGATCACTGGTCGACATCGTGCACGAAACTGAAACATCCCAATGAGAGAATCGATTTCCTCAAAACGACGCATCGATGTCTTGGATGTGGTTCCAAAAGCCACACCTTTGCAGATTGTAAATCTAAAGGGTGTTACTACTGTGGTAAAAAACACCACTCTTCAACGTGTTTCAAAAGCCCAATAAAGACGAACAATACACCTTCGTCGGGAAATGCAGATCCAAAAAAGGGGGAAAAAATAAAAAAGACCGTGCAAAACTTTGCGAAAGCAAGGATTACGGCCGTACAAGAAAATAATTTGGGACCAAGCCCAACAATTCTAGCGGTGTCTGAGTCACCCATGAAAAAGAAACACGAGCAGATTTTCCTTCTGACTGGTCATCTGACTGTAGTACACCCTACAGCCCAAAAGAGCATGGAAGTCGAAGTACTATTCGATACAGGTGCCGATCGATCATTTATCGATTCTCAGCTCGCGAAAGACCTTCAGTTAAAAGAATGTGGACGAAAGGTAATGCAGCTAACCACATTCGGTTCGCATGAACACAAAGAAATTGAGTGCCTTCTGACAAGTTTGAGGGTATGGGATGCAAATGGAGAGGCGCACACACTGCAACTTTTCACCTTCGACAAACTGTGCCCAAATCTTTCCCAAGGCGGCCTGGACGAAAAGGACTTGGAATTCATTCGCCGTAAGCACATACGTCTATGCGTGCCACACGAGAAAGATGCGGTGCAACCAAAAATCCTTATAGGATGCGACCAACTATGGGATTTCATAAACTTTGAGGCTCCCCACTTCAACCTGCCATCAGGATTGACACTCATACCAACGAAATTCGGCTATACCGTCTCGGGGAGGAAGACTACCGAAGGCACAACAACATCAAAACCAACAATGGTTAATATGCTGCAACTGGAGGATAAAAGGGACCAGTGGGAACAACACTGGAACCTCCAAATAAACGACATTGGCCCAGAATACACCGGCCCTGAGAAGAAAGAAAAGGCACGAGTGAATGCGCAAGTGCTCGAGGACTTCAACAACTCAATCGAGCGAAGACTTGATGGGTATTATGTGAAGATTCCATTCAAGGAGGTGCACGACGACCTGCCGGACAACAGAGCTTTGGCCTGGAGAAGGCTAAAAAGTATACTGCAAAAATATAAAGACCAAGAGAGCATTCTCCAGCAGTACGATGACGTCTTCAAAGAACAAGTTCGGACAGGGATTCTCGAGGAAGTGAATGAAAGTGAGGATACTTCCACGACGAAGAGACATTATTTGCCTCATCAGCCAGTAATAACCCCTAGCAAACAGACGACCAAATTTCGCGTAGTATTCGACGCATCGGCGCACTATAAAGGATGCCCATCGCTCAACGATGTGGTTCACCAAGGTCCGACCATACTACCCAAACTGTACGGCATACTATTGCGATTCCGCACATCGAAATATGTATTACTGGCAGATGTGGAGAAAGCGTTTCTCCAAGTGCGCCTTCTAGAGGAAGATCGGAATTTCACAAGATGCCTGTGGGTGAAAAACATTGCGGAGACTGTTACTCCAGAGAATTTGATCGTTTATCGATTCACTCGGGTGACATTCGGAATTAACGCGTCCCCATTTCTGCTTAGTGCAACTATCCTATTCCACCTAAACAACGTTGTGCAAAACAAGATCCTAGCGGAGGAAATTGCGAAAAACCTCTATGTTGACAACCTCTTCATCCGCGCAGAATCAAAGGACGAGGCAGTGCAAAAATATAGGGAGGTGAAGGACATTTTTTCGAGCATTCATATGAATTTGCGAGAGTTTGTCTCGAACAATAACGATATCATGAGCTCCATCGCAGTGAATGACCAGTCATCAAATCGAGCTCCAAAAGTTTTAGGGCTACAGTGGGATTCCAATACGGACATGTTCCATCTCCAAATTACCATCACAGTCGGGTCATTCGTGAGCAAAAGAACTGTGGCGCAAACAATTGCTTCTATATATGACCCGCTAGGATGGTATGTCCCTTTATTGGTGAGAGCAAAGCACTTCCAACAGCAACTCTGGAAGCAACGGTATGACTGGGACGAGCCCCTCAGTCCCGAAGAAAGGGAAAAGTGGTGCAAGCTGATAGGGACTATTGATGGATTCCAACATCATCTCCCTCGAATGATAGCTGAATCCCAGGAAAGCTACACACTTGTTACATATACTGACGCTAGCTCTATAGCGATGGCAGCTTGTTCATATCTTACTAAAGATAGGCAGTCACACCTCATTATGGCAAAGTCCAAACTTTCAGAAGGAAAACGAGAAGTGACAATGCCAAAACTTGAGCTAAATGCCATTGCAATGGGCACAAGACTGAGTAGCAACATTTTACAAAGCCTTGAAGCAGCTGCACATATTGAGCGTATTCTCATTCTCACCGACTCAGAGATCGCTCTAAAATGGATCACATCCCCTCCAAATCGTAGCGGAGGTGTTTTTATAACGAACCGTGTGAAAGAGGTGCAAAACATAGCCCGCCAAATGCAATCGGCTGGAACCCCGGTAGAATTCGGATATATCGACACAAGAAAAAACCTAGCCGATTGTGGAACTAGAGGAGTAGCAAGTGATGAGTTCAGGAACCATCCATGGTGGACTGGGTATACACTCAAGGAGTTATATGGAAGTAACACTCCCAAAAACCTTCGTGTCGTCCCCGACGAAGACGGAGAAGAGCCTCCGCAATCGAACAACATTCATGTGCAAATATCGCACTCCGTACTCAATGAGAAGGCTTCCGAAATAATTAATCTGCAACATATCAGCTCCTATGCTAGGGCAAGAAGAATTCTTGCTTATGCGTTGAGATTTTTGAAAACAGTGACTTCGCGTGTTCAAGAACAACTGCAACGAAAATTGTGCAACCGTCTCCCATGGCTTTCTCATCGCGTACGAGGAGAGCACCTTACAGCAACGGACATCCTCGATGCACATCATGTACTCATAAGGAATCACCAGATGGTGCATGTCACCGACCAATACAGAAAGGAGGTGGCAAAAAATTTAAATCTCAAAGAGGATGAAGCGGGGCTACTAAGAGCATACGGACGGCTAAACAAGTCAAATTTGAGCGCAACTACGAAAAACCCCATCTTCGTTGCCCCAAACACCGAACTTTGCCGTCTAATCATAGACGAAATTCACGGAACGTACCATAAAGGTACAGCCCACACCGTGTCGGACATCCGGCAAACATACTGGATTCCGCGTGTGCGAGAACAGGTAAAGAAAAGAATACGGCAGTGCATACCTTGCCAAAAGTTGAACCACCTCGCATACAAATACCCTGAAATGACAGATCTCCCGGCGTTTCGTGTCAATAGGGCACATCCGTTCCAACATATCGGCTTGGACTACTTCGGGCCCATCACGATTTTCAGAGAAGACATGGCTAAAACCAGCGTGTACGGCTGTATCTTTACATGCGCGGTCACGAGAATGATCCACCTCGAGGTGGTCCCTGACGGAACAGCCGAGAAGTTCATTAATGCCTTTCGACGCTTCGTCGCTCGGCGTGGGAAACCCGAGAGTGTAACTTGTGACAACGCACCCACATTCAATCTAGGAAGTCAGATATTAAACCACGCTCTCGAATCCAGAGAGGGGAAACAGTCCGTAGAGAGAGTCATGAGCGATAAGTGCATTGTCTGGAAGCATATAACACCATACTCCCCGTGGATGGGCGGATTTTATGAAAGGCTAATCAAGGCGGTGAAAGGGTCAATGATGAAATCGATTGGGAGGCGCATTCTGACCATGGACCAGTTTACAACTCTACTAACAGAGATTGAAGCGTGTCTCAATACGAGACCTCTTACTTATCAAGAGAGTGACATAAACGACACCGTGTGTTCGCTACGCCCAATTGACTTCATTCAGAAAGAGATGGACATCAATTTCCCTCTCACAAATTTTGACGAGGAGCGCGATGACCCATCGTATGTTCCGTCCGCTGAATCTTCTCGTATCAACACCAGACTGCAAGCAACGAGGGCTTTACAGTCATCCTGTGCCCTTACTGAACGCTACTGGAGAATATGGAAAGACTCCTATCTAACTGCTTTACGTGAGCAGCACCGACGCAACATCAACAACAAAAAGGGATGCGCATGCAAACCGCTCGAAGGAGAAGTCGTACTCATAGTAGATTCCAATCAAAAAAGGAATCACTGGAAATTAGGGCGGATAACAAAACTGGTGCAAAGCAATGACGGTGCAATACGCGAAGCAGAAGTCTTCTGTGGGAACAATAGTGTCATTAAACGACCCATCAACCTACTAATCCCACTGGAGATCAGTGGAACCGACGATGCGACCCAGAAGTGTGTCGAAGAGCAAGGAAGAGAAAAGCTGCCAGAAGAAACACTCCATGCCGAACTTGAGGAGCTGCAAATGGACACTGGAGAAAGTCAGCCTCAAAAGGACGTCCATGGAACTACCTCAAAGCGATCGAGGTACAACTTACGCCCGAGAGCACCTTTCCATGCGAATTCGAACGCTCCAGTTGCCAAAGGTGGGGTGCTCACAGTATCCGGTATCCCAAGTGGGATCCAATTCGCCAGCTACTTACAGCTTCTCGTGACCATAATCAGTGCAGCTTTAGTGATGGGGACACCATCCATTTCATCCACACCCACCATTAACAACCCAGCACCGCATACGATAGAATGTCGCCCAGAAGGAATTTATTTACACTCTCCAACCTCTCACGGTTATGAGATATGTGTGAATAATTATTGTATGGTAGAACGGACAGCACCGATACATAAGATCATACGCATTCCTGCAAAGGACCTTCTCTATGAATACGAAGCACGATGGAAAATTGAAACAGCGACCAACTATACTATCATAGAAACTGTGTGCCCGGAGCAACCCTTTTGCGCATCAGTGAACTGCATTATCTGCTCCGACAACATCTTCAACCCTGAATGTTGGCCATTCAGTGCAATAGCAGGTGCAGGAATACTCCTTTACATAATGATTGCGCTGTGCTACACCATATGTTACATTCCAGTAACAATCGGGCACCCCATTCGGCTGCTTCTCCGAGGTCTCAAGAAACTGTGCATTGTTATCCTAAACATAGCTTTCACCTCCATTCGTGGAATTTTCCGTTGGCTAACACATCGCCAAACACGCACTTCCCGATTTCTTGAAGCTCTAGCTTTATGTGGAATCATCGCAAGCGCGTGGACGTGTCAGACCGTAAATGTTTTCTCCCATCATATGGAAAGCTGTGTGAACACTTCTGGACGAACTGTGTGCAATGTGGAAGTCGTCTCTGTCCTGAAAATAAATCCATTCAAAAAAGATGCATGCGTCAGATTCCAGCATAACCATACCACCATCTTAGAGATGAGAGTGAAATGGATTGGATTGCGACTGCTATGCCACAAAACTACCCTGATGCACACAAGAAACATAGTACAGAAAGTTGTCGACAGCAAAAGATGCCCACTCAAAGGATCTTGTGTGGGAAACAAATGTGCCGATATCAATTCCAGCAGCCTACTTCCGGAGCTTGCCGTGGGAAACGCCTATCCCGGAACGACGAAATGTCTAGAGTCCTGTGGAGGAATAGGCTGTGAATGTCTTTTACCAAGCTCAGGCTGTTTATTCTATCGAATTTATGCCGTCCCGGTAGATGGGGAGATCTATGAACTCTTTTCGTGTGCGGCGTGGGAAGAAGAAGTGAAGGCACAGGTGCAAGTAAGAAGATATACGGAAAAGATGTTCGCCACTTACACAGTTGGACTGAAACGTAACGTACCAGTACAACTTCCTTTCATAGACATGACGCTGAGCGTACTCTCATGGCCATACTTTTCGGTTTTGGACGCGAAATTCATCACCAATACGCACAACACAGCCATTTGGTCATCAGAGTCTCTTCCGCATTTACAATGCCCCACAAGAGACGCGGCGCAACAGCTTCAGTGCAACTTTTTTGACTCCTGCGAATGCAGTGCGGCCGAAGTGCAAGTGAACTGTTACTGTGAAAGCCAAGAAATCAGGCAGCATTTTAGGAAGATCGAAAATTTACTGCCTGTCACATTTCCGTTCCTAAAATTCACAAAGCACCCACGTCACGATGTCATGGCACAGATAGAAGACGGAGTTTCGTCTGAAATCATCGTCAATATTAAAGGAGCAGTAGACGACAGTGTTGTCGATTCAATAGACGAAGTATGCAAGATCGACGATACGACCATCCAAGGGTGCTACAAATGTAATAGAGGAGCAAATGCAGTGGTAACGTGCGCTTCATCCTCGACAGCAGTTACTGCAGAAATAGTTTGTGGGACAGAAACATTTACTGTGCCATGCGCCCCAAGTAAAATGAGGTCCACAGTTCGATTTCTGTTGCCTAATGCGCGTATCCAGCTCAATTGCACCGTAAAATGCGGATCTACAATCACATACTTCGAGATCACGGGGATTTTGAAGTATGTAAACTCTCTCCACGAAAGACTTCAACAAATGGACATGCAAACGCACAACGTTACATCTGAATTCCATTGGCCTGACATGAAACATATCGTCGACGTGTATATACAATTCTATAAGACAGTCATTTTCACATGCTTGATCGTTGGCATGGCGTTGTTGGTTTCATACCTCTACGTCACAACGGCATGCGCTCGATTGCTGTGCAAAGCCCTTCACGCGTTGATCAGGATAGCGTACCATTTTGCTCGAATTCTAATACGTATGGCCTTTTTTGCCCCTCAGATGTGCAAACTTTTCGAGAAACTACACCTCAGCGCAAAAGATGGCGATGAAAACGCTTTAGTAGAACTGCTTACCGCAGTGCATGTACATATTTAATAAAGGTGCAAGATTATAAGTAGCTCGTTTAGGACTATGGACAATCGTAACGACTCGTACGACGATCTACTGAGAAAGCGCAAGGCCGAAGAACAGCGATTGATCGAGCAACTGAGGTTTAAAAGAGCTCACGTTCGTTTGACTCCCTCCCTCCCCACGGAAAAGGAGGTGCAAAAGAAGATCAAGCAGTTTGTGCAATCGATTGTGGCCATCACACAGTCTAACAACTTGCTGAACGAAAGTGCAGAAGTTTTTGGACAACGGCCAAGTCTTTTTGCGAAAGGAGAAGCCACCCTTTACAAGTGCAAGGTGCAAAACATGGGCATGAAAGCAGAATTCGTAAAGGAAAAGCTCCTCAGTGCGGTGCAAGGACTGACAATGTCCTACGAGACATATGGTTTACTGATCTTGGCTGAACACGCGACTGATGAATCGAAGACCGAGTTCTACAATAAACGTGTTGAAGGTATTTCTCTGGAGCCGGTATTCGTCAACGAGTTCGTTAGGAAAGAACTAGACTTCTTAGATGCAATCCTGAAAAGTATCGAGACAGAGATGCATGAAGCCCTGCAGCAGATCGAAAATGAAGAACACCCTAGTATCCACGAAGAAATCGCGAAAGCCTTCGCCAAGTCTGAACAACTGATGCGTGAAATCGAGCGTAACTTGAAGGAAGAGATTCAAAGGTACGAAGGAAAACTCGACGCTCTAGAAACGTCTCTTGGGAAAATTCAGACTGCGATTGAAGAGAAAAATTCGGCTACCAGGGTGCAAGAGGATGCTGAGACAGTGCAAAACGAGTCCCTGAGAAAGTCAGAAGAGAATGAAATGGAAGAAGACTTACTCGATTTCGACGATGAACAGCTTCAAGAACCGAACGAAAAACCGGCAGAAGAACCCAAGCAGAACGATGAGGTGCAAGAACACATGGAACAAGAAGAAGCTGAGGTGCAAAAACCACAGGAGACATCGTTCGAAAAAGAGATTCGAAGGAGAAAAAGAAAGATTCGTGAGCGCATGTCTGAACTGTATCACAAAATCAGGAAGGGACGTCGCATGCCGAACCGCATTTTTTCACAGTATAGCAAACTACGTGATGACGACGTCTTTCTCAGATGCTCCTTCTGCGACAGGAAAGGTTACCACTACAGTGACAGTTGTCCACGGTACAAAACTGTCAAAGAGAGAAAAAGGTTGATCAGATGCTATTTTTGCCTCGACACCTTTCACAGAACTCAAAAATGCCGAAAAGATCGGAAGCCTTGTAACTATTGTCATTCGATGAACCATCATACCGCCATCTGCAAGCTCCCGGAGGAGAGAGACGCAATCGAAAGGGAATACTCGGACCTGAAGAAGAAGTTAGACGACTACGAGAAGGGAGAAACATCGACGTGAGATCAAGAAGAAAGAGATACACCTCCACTTCCTGTGGGTGGGAGTATCACGAACGTGATAACAGTAATCGATTTCTTTTGATAACATTACTCGATTTCACTATTCTATGTTGGGTTACTGTAAATGTAATGTGCGCTTCAATTCCATATTTTCAAGATGGTAGAACAAGATATGAAAAGCTTTACTGTAACAGTGCCATTCCATTTAGCTAAGAGCATTCCTAGATCCGTAGAACACGATATGAGGATCAAATGTTTGCATTCTCTTAGGCTCGCAGAGCTTTAGATCCGTAGGACATGATAAATGAGGATATAAAAGAGGGCAAGCCGCAAGGCTGGGCTCTTTCTGCTTTCCGCTGTGCAACTCAAGTGAGGATCGGTGCAAAGAAGTGAAGGTTGGTGCAAAGATTTGATCCCAGCGCAATTTTCCTATTTTTTCTGGAATTTCTTGCCTTTCCGATTGTTGTTACATTCTCATTTCTTATTATTCTCGCTTAATTCATTGTATCAAGGTCGATTTGGATAAATAAGTTGGAGATACCCGCGTGGCAATACAGAGGAAGTTCATTGAACGTTGATCACTATCACACCATCACTGAAATCCCAGAAGTTGTAGGTACGGTGATCACATGTAGCAACGTAGGCGTTGACCCTGCGTTGAAGGGCAACATAGGTATTGGATTGTGTTTGCTACATAGAACATTGTAGGCAGGAGCGATTAGACAAATAAGCGATCGCCACTGGGCGGGACAAGAAGTCAGTTCTTATCTTTTTTCATCGCCGACGTGCCTACGATAGCAGATCGGCTAATCGCAGTACGTCGCCAACTATGACGCGTCGTAGAAGTAAGCATGGAGAGGTTTATTCCCAAGCTCTGTTTAGCTGAAGCCTGCCGGAGGATGATGCAACAGCTTATCTCCACGATTCTATTAAGTGCTCGGCGGACTTCAAATCCATAGCAGCCTAATCAGATGGCGAGAGGCGGAATTATACGTGTGCAATTGCGATATCAATGCAGATCGTGCTGCTACAGAGACAAAATATCCTTTTGCAGAACATCAATTTTTGTTCTCGCTGCGAAACAGCCCGTAATTGCAGACCTTATACGTGAAATGTCAAAGATTATAACACGTGCGTCTTTGATGCTCTTGATGCTGTCTGGTGTTAGGAAGTTTGTAATTAGGATAGCTCCGGCAGAGAAACAAAGTGTGATCAATCCTACGTGCTTCAGGTATTTTCGCACTTATTCAACGACATTCCTAGGAAAGTTCTTTTTTCATGTTTCAATTATTGGTCCTTTGAGAAGAATGAATCGAATAGAAGTGGCCCTCATGTCCTTGGGGGGGACATCAACAACAGGCCGATGGCAGGTGACAACTGGGGCTAAGCCCAGAGGGGAGAAACGCCAGGGAGCACACATATTACTTGCATTTCCGTAAAATCCCTTCTTCTGTCCTGAGGCTCAGTCCCAAGTACAGTAATTGGCTCACTCACTGGGATGTCCCAACCCTCCCCCCCCCCCACGGCCACGGCAGGGAGCGCCGATGGCTCTTTAACTATCTCTGGGCATGTTTTTCAATACACAGTGTGCTGACAGAACGTGAAGCGTAAATCACTTGGAGTAGTCGTCGGCTCTCTTATGTACAAATCTCTGAGTCGATCTTGTTTTCGTCAGCGGGTTTTGAAGAGCTAAGGTCATTGATTGATGGTGCAGCTTACTTGTACTCACACTGAGCGTAGCTCCTAATGTCATCTTTTATCCGATCGTTGACGTGGCTTGCCATTGTGTAACTAGTAAAAAACTAGAATGATTCCTACCACGGTCTTCTTCGCTTTAGGTATGATAAGGAGGGTGTTTTCGTGATATGGAGCGTTCATAGTTGGCGATTGTGCGTGCGGTTGGGCGATTAGGTGATAAGTCGACGATTTAAAATGAAAAGTACACGAATCGATTAGGCAATTAGGCAATTAGGCGAGTAGGCGAGTAGGCAATAAGGGATACGTACTACAGCGCTTTAAGGGCGGAGCAAATCAATCAATACTTATGTAGTCTTCACCGCCTAATCGCCTACTCGCCTAATCTATACGTATATTTTCCATTATAGACGAATCGCCTAATCGCCTAATCGCCTGATCGCACGTACGATCGCCAACTATGAACGCTCCAATACCCTCTCGAAATTTTTGCCGTACACAGTATTCTTATTGCGTCGTGTTGGCTATGGGGAAATGGTCGAATGGTGACTGTAAGGCAATGTTTAGAGAAACATAGGCGAACATGCAGACTGGCGAATAGGCGAGGAGGCTAAAAACGAAGAAGCGGCCGCGTGAAACGCTCAGACGGCGGAATGAACCAAACCAATACATGTGCATCTCTTTACGCCGAATCGCCTGCTCACTTGCTTGCGAATTCGCCTAGCCAGGCCTTCGTATCTTTCGTGTTCCTTCGACTATTCAGATGAGTCGTCAACTTTTAACTTCGCCTAAAGGTGTAAGTGATATGTGTGGTGGTAGCGGTTTCGAGACACGGACTGAAGTTGAATTCGACCCTGCGTTACTGACCAAAAACCACCGCTTAACTTTTGAGACCGTTTATGCTGACAAAACTAATGCCTTCCACTCCATTGAACAGTGAAGGAAAAAGGTGATCGTTTTTGGCGCTAAATTCCCATGAGGATGCTAACTGAACCTTTGGAAACAGTTGGCAATTGTTGCAGTGCAGTTACAGAGAAGCGTAGCCTAGCACCTTCGGCTGAGCCTATATTCTTAATTATGGTGTCCCAACCGTAACTTCGAATTCAGGCGACAGGCCGGCCTACGAACACCCACGTCACATCACAAATGTTAATGTCGCTCATATGATTTCGAGATAATGCTACGGCGTCCGCGGGAGCCGACGCGCACTCGCAAAGCCCGGCGAGTGTGAAAAGTATGCGAGGGTCTCCGGTGCAAGGACGGCATCGGGGGGCAACTAGGCTAGTTTGAAATTAGTTGGCCTTCACCCCGATCAGGCACATAATCGGGAAAAGTGGCGTCGTAATACCAGGAAAGCGGACCCCGCCAC